AGAAACTCCGAAAACAAAGAATAACTGAAAGAAGCAGTGGTACAAGCCTGGAAAAGCATCGCAAAAGAAGAATGCAACAGTTTGGTGCCTGCTTGATGTAGTTTTTGCAAGCAAGGGATATGCAACCAAATATTGTGTTATTTACTTTAATTTACTTTAGGACAATTTGTCCCAATACTTTTGCTCCCCTGAATATTTGGTTGTTTGCCACCAAAGGTTGTTTAACACATCTAGGTGTAAATATCAGGCATATATATACAGTTAGGTCTGGAAGTATTTGGACAATGACAGAGTTATTGTGATTTTGCCTTTATACACCACCACAATGGATTTGAAATAAAACAGTCAAGATGTGATCGAAGTGTAGACTTTCAACTTTATTTTAAGGGGTTCCACAAAAATATGGCATTTACCATTTAGGAATTACAGCCATTTTCAGCAAAGTACCTCCATTTTCAGGGGCTCAAAGGTATTTGGACAAAGTGACATAATTGTAAATATAACCATAATTTTAATATTTGGATGAAAATCCTTTGCAGTCAATGACTGCCTGAAGTCTGGAGCCCATGTTCTCAAAACTCAAATTCTGAGTTTCCTCCCTGGAGATGCTTCAGTCTTGTCTTCAGTAAATGAAAAGCATGCTCTATTAAGTTAAGATCAGGTGCTGACTTGGCCATGAAGAATATTCCATTTCTTTGCTTTCAAAAAGTCTTAAGCTGCTTTCGCAGTATGTTTAGGGTCATTATCCACCTGCACTGTGAAGCGGCGTCCTATCAGTTTTGTAGCATTTGGCTGAATGTGAGCAGAGAGTATAGCCCTATACACCTCAGAATTCATCTTGCTACTTCTATCAGCAGTCACATCATCAATAAACACCAGTGAGCCCGTTCCATTGGCAGCCATACATGCCCATGCTATAACACTGCCTCCACCATGTTTGACACATGATGTGGTATACTTTGAATCATGAGCTGTTCCTTTCTTTCGCCATACTTTTCTCTTCTTTTCTCCAGACCTTTTATCTGCTTCATTTGTCTTGAAGTAATGAGGGAATGGACCACAACTGGTCAATTAACTTCTTGTCAGTCAATTGTCCAAATACCTTTGAGCCCCTGAAAATGGAGGTACTTTGCTGAAAATGGCTGTAATTCCTAAAAGGTAAATGCCATATTTTTGTGGAACCTCTTAAAATAAAGCTGAAAGTCTACACTTCGATCACATCTTGACTGTTTTATTTCAAATCCATTGTGGTGGTGTATAAAAGCAAAATCACAAAAGCTCTGTCATTGTCCAAATACTTCCGGACCTAACTGTATAAATATATATATTTAATTTTCTCAGATTATCTGTTGTTTATTTGCATAAAGAATGAGTTACTATATGGTTGATCAAAACCGAATGACTGATGCAACAATTGCCTGTGTAGTTTTCTATAAGTAAGTAACTGTAGGCATATACTCACTGGCCACTTTATTAGGAACACCTGTACTCATTCATGCAACTATCCAAGTAGCCAATAATATGGCAGCGACAAAATGCATAAAATCATGCAGATATACTGTAGGACAAGAGCTTCAGTTAAAGTTCACATCAAACATCAGAATAGGCAAAAATTATCTCAGTGACTTTGACCTTAGCTGGTTGTTGGTGCAGGCTGGTTTGAGTATTTCAGAAATTGCTGATCTGATTGTTGAATGTCTTGTGACCAGCCAGGGGTCCATTTAACCTATTTAACTTTACATTTTAATAAGAACACTGTCCATGCATGGCATACGTAAAAGTATCAGTACACATAACAAACTTCTTAACACACAGATAACTCGTAATTAACCTTATAATTACTTGTAATTATAATTAACTTAAGCTAGCAAGTTGAACTTGTATTTTTTTGGCCAGGTGAGAAAATAAACAAGTTAATCAGAACAAGAGCAAGAGGCTGTATTCTGTCTACACCGATTAGAGTTCACCTTTATTCACTTGCCTTCCAGGCAGATGTAGTCAACTAATTTAACTTGTAATGAGCTTAACTTTTCAGGATACAAATGTAGGAATGCAATTAGGCTATGTGGATATTAATTGATATGCATGAGGTATTTGCATGAGCACAGAGAAGGAGAGTCCACATATGAATGCAGGAAGAAAAACACCTATTGCAATAAATAAACAAGGCAGTTTAATTTAATTTTAATTTAATTTTCTGGTTCAATCCTGTCTGTGTTAAGTTTCTGTACACGTTCTCCCAGTGTCTCCCAGATTTCCTCCAGGTTTTCTGCTCCTCCAACCTCCCAGAAATATGGCACTTGTTGGACTGACTATGCTAAACTGCCCTTATGTGTGCGTGGGGTGCCCTGCAACCGACTGTTTTCTCTTCAGGGTTTATTCCCACATAACCTCCAGTGTTCCTGGGACAGGCTCTGGATCCACCTCAACTCTGACCAGGACGAAGTGGTTACTGAAGATGAATGAATGAATGAATGAATGCTAGTAGAGGGAATTTACAAAACTGGAACCTCATGTTTCCATAAAGCACTGTGAGGTTAACCAGTAGAGACAGTGTGACACTTGGGGTAGAATTTTATCTACAGTATGTTCTTCGCGGGGGGGGGGTATGGTGACTTAGTGGTTAGCATGTTTACCTCACACGTCCAGGGTTGGGGGTTCGATTCCCACATCTGTGTGCGCGGAGCTTGCTTTCAGGGTTTCCTCCCCCAGTCCAAAGACACACACTGTAGACTGATTGGCATCTCTAAACTGTGTGTGTGTGTGCAACTGTGCCCTGTGATGGGTTGGCACGCCGTCCAGGGTGCCCCAACTCCCGATGGATGGATGGATGGATGGATGGATGGATGGATGGATGGATGGATGCGATGCTTTTGGGTCCTGATGCATGTCTCTTTTCATCCACTGAATGGCGCTATGCTCGAAACAAGACTCGGTACCACGCAAGTCGCGTCATATCCGGTTGATCATTGGGATTTGTTTGTTTTTATTTTTGCTAGGAGGAGAGTTTTCTGTGGCTGCACTGTTTTGGTCGGCGACATCTCACAAGTCTGACAGTGCACGCCAATGAATGTCATTAGTAAAGGATCCATTCACCGGTGATGTTCAAGCGCCTATGAGACAACACAAAGTGCTCCCATTGAAAGTTGATTAGCTGCCGGTGTTGGCTACCATTGACAGCTCGCTAGCCAGCTTGCTAACACGATTAATGCAAACTATAAAGCAAGCTGAAGAGCACAGCTAGCTAGCAGGCCAGCTGTCCACCTGGACCGGAGACGAGGAAGATCGCTTGCTTGCTAGCTAGCTAGCTAGCTAACCAACCCTCTGGTGTCCCAGCGATAATCATCCGCCAGTGTTTCCGTGTCTTTCTGACAATGGGAAACGCCGCTGCTGCCAAGAAAGGCAACGAATTAGAAAGCGGTGAGTAAACGAAAAATAATAATAAAATAAAAATAAACACTAGGTAGTCAGCAAGCTAACACTGTGTATATGTGTATAATTCAGTGTGTCTCAGTAGGGTTAATGTTATTGTGTAGAACAGCAGCGTTTCACTCAGGTCAGCTAGCCAGCTTCTTCAGTTTGCAAGCTTTCATTCATTGGTGAGCTCAGTGAGCTATCAGTCTGTAAGGCTTTAACCTGACAGTCAGAGTGGATTTCTGCAAGCACAGAATACCAGGGAACTCTAGATTAGATCTGCTTTGGCTTTCTGCAGAAGAAACTTCACATTATTCAACCACATTTAGATCCACGAGTTCAAAGTGTGGCTGATAAATACATAAAGTATAGGAAACATTTTAAAGCCTATAGCCACCATATGTGTATCAAAAATTCAACAAAAACTAAATATCAGAAATTTTTAAATCACTGTTAAAAAAAAAAAAAAAAAAAAAAAAATCAGTTTTTCTTTTAATTACCAGAAGGTTTTGAGGAAATAATCAATCACAGTAGTGATATATCTAACCGTGGTTCTGTGAACACTGCACATGTTGAGTCATGAAGTTACCATATGAGTTAGTATTTGATATAAATAATATCAATCCTTGCCACTGGTTCTGAATGACTGGTATTCCAGTGTTCATAGAATCACCGTTACATGTGTACATGTGTAAATAGCTTTCTGTGTCAGCTCTGGATCACCTGAATAACCTGTGCCACAATGTCATGAGGAGTCCAGCTGTTGGAAGATGAGATGTCACTGAGAGGAGCGATGTTAACCTAGTAGGACCTGTTAAAGGTGCAAGATTCTACCCAGGTAGCGTCTGTCCTGACTTGGAGAGGCACACCTCTAAGTAATGAGTGGCATGTCATATTAGGGGCAGTCCCTTTAGGAAGGCTCACCACAGTTTCCACCTGAGAATATGTACTGCCCGGCCAAAAGAAAAAGTCGCTGTTTAGATTTTAATAGGCAAATACATAAGAGTGATTATAATGTTTCTAGCATGTTATATGTTTGGCAACAGTTCTTTTAATCTTAAAAGATGAAGTGAAAGGCTTTGGAATGTGCTGGAGGAGACTTTACAGAGTGCTCACCTCTTTCATTGTCAGTACAAGATCTTGACCAAAAATTGATGCACCTCTTGATGGAAATAACATCACAATATGATGAGCACTCTGTAAAATCTCCTCCAGCACATCCCAAAGCCTTTCACTGAGGTTAAGGTCAGGACTCAGAGGTGCCAATTCATGTGTGAAAATGATTCTTTATGCTCTCTGAACCATTCTTTCACAATTTTAACCCTGATGAATCTTGGCAGTGTCGTCCTGGAATATGGCCATGATACGTCTTTCTACATGGTTATTAAAGAACTAAAAAGCTACACCCTTCATCTTTTAAAATTAAAAGAACTGTCGCCAAACATATAACATGCTAGAAACATTATAATCACTCTAATAATGATCCATTCATACACTCTTATGCATTTGCCTATTAAAATCTAAACAGCGACTTTTTTTTTGGCCGGGCAGTGTATAAGGCCTGTATAGTGGGAGCTCTTGAAGGGTCCGTGGAGGAGTAGTGGTTAGACCATGGCACTCTCACCACCGTGGCCCAGGTTCAATTCCTGGCCAGGGAACCAACCCCAGCACACAGGGTTGGGACTCTCAGTCCCAAGCCTGGATAAAAATTGGGGAGAGTTGCACCAGGAAGGGCATCCGGCGTAAAAACTGTGCCAAATCAAATATGCGGACAAATGATCCGCTGTGGCGACCCCTAACGGGAGCAGCCAAAAGAAGAAGAACAACAACAAGAACATAATAGGCGCTCTTGCTTTTTAAGAGTGTCTGCGCAGGTAACCTGGCTGAGGGTGCCACATTAGCTGCATTTGGGGAGAAAGCTACCAAGGTTTTCAGTCCACTAGTGAGAGAAGCAGTGAAAACCAAGGTGTCAGGGGCCACTTTGAAGCCACATGCAGGACTCTGTGTCTGATCACTGAATGTGAGTAGAATCGGTGGACAAGGAAATGCGTATAGTAAGGCAAGTCATGGCCAGTGTGTACAGACCTAGGGAGAACCACAGTCAGCAGTGCTGTAGGCAAAGCGATCTACCTGTGCCCTTCCAAACTTTTCCCAGATCCTGGTACACCACTGGGTGCAGAAGTCACTCCCCCAGGTGTATGCACTGTCTTGACAGCATGCCCACTCCACCATTGTGCTGCCCTTGTAAATGAGCTGTTATCACTGAGGTCAACCGTGGTCCACCCGAGGAGTTTTTGTGCAAGGCACATATGCCCGTGTATTGGATATATAGACATTGTCGATCTATTTAGCTGTTACTAATTTCAGAAACTCATGCCTTTCTCTCCAGATCTTCTATGGCCACAGGTCCAAAGAGTGACCCTGGCACACAGGGTAGCTTTCAAACGGCCGATTTACGTTGAGCAGAGTGGATAGTGCCAGCCACACTTGACGCGGTTTATAAACCAGATTGGTCAACAGCCACTAGGCATCCTGGCCTAGGTGTCCCACTGCCAGGAGAGAGGTCTCGTTTCATTTAGGTCAGATTCAACTCCGAATTCAAGGTCCAAATCTACCACCCGGGCACACCATGTCAGCAGTGCCATTGCTGTGCAGTCAGTGCAGGAGACGTTCGAACCAGCTTTGAAGGAGCTTAGACATTGCTTGAAGGAGCACGTGAGGTCCAGCGAGAAAAAGAAAGGAAGCGATGCAGTGATATAATGATTATAAATGATATTTATATTAATTATTTTGTGGTACTGTCGTGGTCTCCAAGAACGTAACCAAGTATCAAGTACCAAGTGTGCTTGGCACGCACAAGAACGTAACCAAGGCAGCTAGGAGGGGTGAAATAAAAAATGTAATAGCTATGAACAAGTTAACGAATCTCCCAGAATGAATCCAACGTGTCTGTTTTGTCACAACTTTGTGCAGTTGAGAAGATTTCATGTTGGAAATTTACTTTGCAAGACATTGGAGAGAAATTTTTGATGCACATGTGAAATTATTCTTAAAAAACATCTGTTTAAGTTCCGTCAGTAGGTGGCTGTTATTCATTGGAGTTGTGTGCCTACAGATCAGCTTTTACAAAATGACCGTTTAGCCATCGCGTTATGTATCATCTGAGGACTTCATCTCCACAATTTGCTTTACAATTTAATGTGCACTTTCAGTTTCTCTAGTTTCATTTCATCTTTATTATATTGTATAAATTTTTATTCATTTAATTGTTACTTTTTATTTCTGTAACTTATTTTCTGTTTGTTGGCAGTTATACGTTAAGACTTTATTTCATTAAAGTCAGTAGGGAAAATAACTGAGGTAAATGACGGCGTGCTATCAAAACTATATTCCGAGCTCAGCTCAAGTTCTGAGCTTTAACCCACCTTTTTCAATAAGGGTTTTTGAGCATATTTGAAAATATGTCTGTCTGATTGAAAAGAAATGTTCACTCTTAATAAAGTTGCTTATTTTGTGCTCGTTAATAATTGGCTCATTTTTTTAACCAAGCTGAATCGCAGCTGTATTGAGAGGAAAGATCCTGAAAGTGTGAAAATCAAGCTAGAATTCAAATGAACGATTAAGCAGTGGAATTGTTTATTGCGAGCAAGATGTTTTAGTCATCAGTTTTTTTTCCGCCAGTTATCAGTTTATCATTTTCAACATAAGGTATTCCTGTGCCCTTGTCATAGCTTAGGTTAACTCTACAGAACACCTGAAACATGAAGATGAATATGTTAAGTAAATATTTGGTCTAATTATGCAATAAAATGAACTGTTTAATTGATTGTTAATATTGTGATGTGTTCCAGAGCTTTTAGCACTTTAACAATCATTGTGCATCAGTTGTGAAATCCTTACGAGTTAAGTAATACTTACTATGTTATTACGTAATGAATAAAACAGAGCGGGCGTGCTATTTTAGGAAAATGATCCAGGAGCTCTTGCCATCCAGAAATGAATTATTTTGTGCCCTGTCTCCTCATACCACAGCAATTGCAATTTTTTTTTTTTATTTATTAATGAACGACACATGATGCTTTTTAACAGTTTATAGTTACATTTAATGTTGGAACTACTGTGGCACAACTTAGTTCCTGTTATTACTTTGCATTATAGCAGCGATAAATATGTTTCCTCATCGGTGTCTCTTTCTTTTATCTCCCTTTATGTCAATAAGACAAAAAAATGCAGATTGTCATGTTACTGAGAAACCAGAACACGCAAAGTCCCCTGTCCTTGACTTCTACAAAGCACTGACACCTCAGACGCATTCCATACACGATAAATCAAAGCTTCACCGATTGTATGGGTTTTTTCTTTTCTTTTCTCTTTTTAACCCGTTTTAAATTAGCCCTAGGTTATGTAGATCATCTGCCGCAAAGTGAATGAGTTGTTACTATAGAAATGATTACATATTAGAGCAAGCATGTTAATCATTTGAATTACAGATGGTCACTACTGTCAGAGTCGCGCTGCTGTAGAAAATTAATCACCACCACCTGACCAATCAGATACAAGAATTCAGCAGTGCGATGGTATAATAATATATAAAACTATATATGACCACATGTTTGTATTAAGTGCAGTTAAATGCTGCAGTGATATGGCTGTGCTGTACTATTTGTACTTTGTGTAGTCCTGCATATAAGGCTCTGTAGTGCGTCATATACACTCCTGGGCAAAATAAAAGCCCAAAGTGGCAAAATATTAAGCTTTTAATAGTCTTAACAACAAATCACTAGTCAGGAAATGAGCAAGAATTAAACAAATAGATAAAGGAAGTTAGTATGGGATCATTTTTCCCTCTGATTTTTTTTTTTTTAATGTTTAAGCCTTGTGGCTCTTGCTGGGCTGCATCAGGCGTGGCAGAGAACCAAATAATGACTAATCTTTTAAGAAAAAAAAAACATCCTAGAAGATATTTTGGAAAGTTTTGTACACCTAGAGATGTGTTAGTTTGAATTTTACATCAAACATTTTAATAATTATCATGATTTTACAATTGGTACCCTGCCTTGTGCCCCGAGTCCCCAGAATTATTTACTCCAGATTTATTGATGTCCTTTTCGTAATATCGCAATTTCTTCTGGAAACATTTGGCTTCAGAACAATCAGCAACCACAGTTTAATGTGGTGAAGCCTCCTTTGGAGAGAATAAGAGCACTGAGCCTCTTCCTGTAAAGCAGGTATGTCCACAAAGCACCAGTGTATTTCAGCCAAGCAGGAGCTACATCTGATTCCACCTGTGTAGTCAATCAATCTCCGGCATTAAAAAAACAGCTAACATCATTGTCTAACTAGCTTTTTTTTTTATTTGTAGGTTTGTGCATGTGGGTCTTCTTCAGTGCACATGGCCAATGCTGAAAGATTTTTGTGTTTCCGTGATCATTTCTGTGTTGCTTTGAGTGTATTTTGGTGCCATTATATTGCTGAAAGATTCATTAATGGCCAAATCTTAACCTCAGAGGAAACCGCCCTGTTCCAGAATTTTGAAACTATTCTGTTATGGATGTGATTGTCACTGAAGGTATGTTGTAGCTAATATACATTACCTGCGGCTTAATAACTGTCTGTTTTGTTTTGTTTTGATTGACTTTGGAATTACCATGTAAATATAACTGCATTTATTTTAAATGTCTTGAAGGGCTGTCAATAACATTGCCATACATGTTTGAGACAGAATGCAAATTAATAAATAAAAAAATTAAAAAAAAATCTGAGAATGATTTTTGGGTAGAGGAAAGTGTTTGAATGGACAATTTCAATAACTACGTGCAGTGTCTCTTTTTTTTTTAATTATTTTTTTTTTTTTTAATACTGTATTATTTTTCTTTTTCTAATTCTCCTGAAGGGTGCCAATAATTCTAGAGTTGACTGTTGGTCTCAGTTGCACCTTATTTTGTCCCATTGTAAATACTCTCAACAAGGTATTGTTTTAATCAGGCTAAGCAGAACCGCTGTCCGATACTTGCTGTGAAAATATGAAGCTGGTTAACGTGAACAGGAAGTGTAACTAGCTGTGTATGCGGTAAGGCAGACCAATGCTGCAATAAGCAAAGCGAGGGAAGTATCACAAACAGGAAGTGTCTGTTATTCATCAGGGCCCTGAAACATACAGTCGATGCACACTGAGCTTATCAGTCAGTTGTAGCAAGAAAAAAATTTCAGCCAATGGCCCAGGCGAGGGATCAAAACTTTGGCCAGTCTGCGGGCACCCACTCTGCTCTCCAAAAGCTGGACACGTTGGCCAGTCGTTTTCTTTTTTACAAGCACCGCAAAGGAAACCATGATAAATCACAAGACAGTGACGGACCGCATGTTTCAGGGTACACCGTCATTTGGGATGAAGCAAGTAAGTGAAATCAAGCAGGTCATGTTCTTTTATACAAAATGGTTGGATAATAATGCGATAAGCAAAAGGGCAACCCAGTCACCTGCTTTCAGAGCTGGACAGAAGAAAAAAAATGGCCATGAATCAAGCATGTTTTACTATAGATGTGAGATTTCAAGGTGAATTTGGCTCGCAAAGATGACTTCCTTTCTAGACAGGAGACTAGACTGTACAGTCGAAAGTGAAAGAAGTGAAGCAAAAGATTTGCGACATTTTATTTTGTTC